TCGATGTGTTCTGGCCATCCCTAGAGCGGCGCCTGGCGGGGAGCCGCAGGCCAACGACACTAATGCGCTCTCCGCATCGCGCCGCCGCCGCCGTCGTCGGGAGGGTCGATAACGGGCCACGGCCCCAGGCGATCGCTCGCTCGCCCACCCTCGCTGAACCGCGCCGCGCCGCATCGCAATGCAAAGACAGTTTATTCGAAAGGCGGCTCCACGCATGCGGCTTCGTTCAATGGCGAACGCCCGCTCGCCGAATCCCGAGTAGAATGGACAGCTTAACTTGCTCCCTGTCGAGCGCAACACAATATTGGGCTCGCCCTAACCGCACCGGGTCCATCTTTTGGGCTCATGCCAGAAAGTGAACATTCGCATGAACGCCAAACGCCTCGACTACTCGGGATTCGTCGAATAATGTGCAGCCGCCTCGTTATGAATTTGAACCTAATCCACATAGGGCCAGTTTCAGGATCAGGCACTTCTCTAAAATGAGGCTTGGTACGATAAGGCGAGAAACAATTCGATCGCGGTTAGTGAACCGAGAAGTACACTGTGTTGCCGAAAGTGAGATGAGTACGTTTCTGGTTCTCCCAATCATTCCCTACATTAGTAACAAGATGCGTTAAATACCTTCAGGTTGTTAAGAAATGGATACGCGTGTAATCTACGAATGTTCCGAAAATGTCATACACACATTAACCCTATCACGATTTGCAGAGTTTTCCAATAATAGACACTACAAGGTTGGTTCAAATAAATAACAGATGCCAACGCATGTTGCTATCTTCTGAACATTTACATATAAAGACAACATTCATATGCCTGCAGCCCAATTACAAACTTCCCTCTCGCCACACGAGTCACGTGGACCGTGTTTATTGGCTGCGTTCTCAGATGCGGAATATTCCATACCCTCCGCGCACAATGGTTCCCCCTGCCATCTGCGCGTCACGCACCAATAAGGCCAATGGGGTGCGCCAGTTTTCATCAGGACTGCGTACAACCACGGAGTTGCCACCATTGGTGGGTTAATATACAAGCAGACTTGGGCGAGCTTGGGGCCGCCGACATATTTTTCAATCAAAAGTATGATTTTTAAAATGTATGTCAACAATTCTATTTTATTTCTAAAAAAATGCTGCGTTTATTGTTAATTTTCGTATTAGTTTTTGCAACATATGACCACATTTCAATATTTTTAGAAGCTCTACAGTTGGCTTGCAGTCCCCTTATTGATCCGTCCCAGGCAGCCCTCTTATGACTTCTCTAGGTTCTTCGCACGAAAAATTTTCGATTTCGGCGAACACACATTCAATGCAATTATATCATGCCACGAACAGGAAACCGCGAATTTCAATATAATACCATATTTAAAGCAATGCCCCAATATGTGTGAATGGAAGCTAAAATTAGAGTACGAGGACTACAAGTGATTATTACTGGCACTATTCCACCCTTACTTGCATCAGGGCTCACCCGCCATCCTCCAGCTGCCCCGCAACGCATTTAACGCTGATTAGGCGGCGTTCAATACTGAAGACAATTTGTCATTATCCGATGCTGCAGGGTACGCTAACACGGTGAGCGAATTTGCGACTGGCCGGCACGAGACTAGAAACGTCATCAGTCACGTGGCTAATCTGTCAGACCGGAGAACGTAAAAGAAAAGGAATAACTATTCGGCGACTGAACTAATTCAATGATCGATTATGACGAGTAATTGTCATATTTAACAACTCATAAGTTAGTATTTTAATGTTACAGTTTGAGTACGACCAATTATTCACTTTTAAAACTTCACCATGATGGCCCACAAACCCCGTGGTCGTGAGTGCTTTTTAAATGGTCCGCTGGAAGTTAGGAAATACTTTCCTTTTTGCACCGTATCTTCGAATTGCCTAGTCTAGGTTAACTTCCAATGCGTGTAGAAATCAAAAGAAAACCATGCAGCTTTCAGACTTTTGAGATAGGTACACAGTTTCGCTAGACACCTAGGAACTTGAGGGGAAAACCAAAAACCAAGGGATGTTTCAATTTTGACTGTATTGGCAAATATTTGATTTGATATTTCGGCTCTTCTCATACTGCACGTACAGACGGAATTATCATACGCAGTGTGTCAAAAATATCATGTCATGTTATTGCATACTCATAAACCACATAAAAAATTAATCCATTGCAGTTTATACTAGAACATTTTACTTGTTCTTAAGCAGTTTGGGTACTCAGAAAATCAATTTTGTGTGTTTCTTCAGCAGCATTTTTGCTGCTTCTGGCCACTAGATGTAGTTCTTAAATAAGTTACAATTAGCAACAGAATCCCACTTCCCCCGAGACCAGACGCGTTACGTGGACCGAGACGCGCGATATACCCCCTCGCCCCTTCTCTCCGCACAGCCCTCTCGCCGTCACTCCCTCCCCCCGCGGGCCGCTCGACCGAGCGAGCACGCGGCCATCACGTGGGGCCCGGGAGAGGCGCGGCAGCGGCGTCGCGCCGGCAAAAACAAAACCGCGCCCCCCCTTCCCCCGCGGGAGACAGCCGTGGTGGACGTAAGCCTGCGAAGGCGGGGAGGCCGCAAATCATGCTTCGAATTTAATAAAAAAAAGGACGGGGAAGAGTAGGCAGACAGCAAACGTACACACTTAAATTTCCTCTAAATAATTTACCGGTTCCCTGGGACTTTTGGGATATTTGTTGAAGAAATAATTCACATACACTACGTTATTGTCGAAAGTTGGATACGTATTTGTTCTCAAATTTCGTAGAAATATTCACTAGCACTACAGGTGAAAAAAGTTATATTGAAGGAACGAAACCGATACTTCGAGGACAAAGAAAAATAATTGTGAATTAAGATCAAGCAGACAGAAAAAAACATTTCCAGACTCGTATTTCCAGAAATGTTTGCCTCATGACTACTATAAACAACGCAATTTCCCTCCAAAATACGCCACACATACAAAATTCACATATTTTCTATAATTACTAGATGATCGCAACTGTTGGCCACCCTGAGCCTCCCAGTAAAACATCAATTTTCATTTATTCGTTATGCAATATGGGAATTCTGTGCGTTCTTTTGTCACTTTTCATCAAAAGACGGATGGCGAACGCCTCGCCCGTCGCGGGCGGCGGCACAAGCCTCGGCTCCGCCACCACGGCGTCAGACGGCGACCAGCGAACCGCGTCATTCCCGCAATTACAGCCTTCAATTGGAGCTCCTCCCAACGTCACTCGCCAGAAATGAGAACCGTAAGTAACCCGTTGGAAACGGGGGGGCGGAGGCGGGAGGGGGGGCGAGAGAAAGAGAAACCCGAGGAGAGGCGCAGCGGACGGAACAAAAAAACGCAAACAAAAGGACAAAAAGGTCTCCGACATGGCGGAGCGCGCGTCCCCGCTTCCCCAGGAGGGCGGCGGAATGCCCGCCAGCCGACGGCGACGGGCGGCCGGCGCACGTGTGCGCGCGTTGCCTGGAGACGCCGGGCGAGGCGCGACATTTGCCGGGCAAACAAGGCAACGACCTATGGTCTGCGAGTCATTCGACCAGCTCGCTACGAAAAAATGTCCACCCCCTTTCGTTTCATAAAATCGTTTGCAGATATTTTTCATTGAAAAACCCTTCATTTTTTTATTCAATAAATCATTAACATTTAGTACTTACACTGCCAATGGGAGGAACTGTTTATTACAGATTGAACAATATATCTGTACTTCAATAATTATATTGAGGAATATAAAATAAAAATAGTAGTCAATAGCACCTTTTATCCCCCCCCCCATCGAAGTGCAGAATATTGAAGATCCCAACAACGACATCCCTTCACATAAAGGAATTTTGGGAAAGACCCTCAAAACCAACATAACCTTAAATTAGGTATAGGAGCCAGATGTCTTTGGAATGGATAGCATCTTTCTGTTTCCGAGCGCCACCACCACTTGGCGGCTCACGCACGCAGCGAGGCTGCCGCTGCCGCCGCTCTCCTCGCCCCGGCTCCGCTCGGCTCAGCGCAGCTTCGGGCAAGGGCCCCACGCCGCGGCGCGGTTCAGCTCAGCTCGGCTCGGCGCAGAGCCGCTGCGTCCATGGCCGAACGAACGAACGACTTCACCCAACCGGAACTCACTCGCTTGCGCCCGACACTACGCGCGTCAAAACAACTGCTCCCATTGTTTTGCAAACCCCACCCACTCGAGCAGTAAAAAAATAGTAACCAGCCTTGTTCGCCAGCGACACTACACGGGTGATAAGCGAGATACTCCCAACTCTTCTGATAACGAGAAAAATCACGGCTTTGATAACTCCAATGATAATTTAATCGTCTCAGCACTTGATAAAATTACATCTTTCGGGTCACACTCTTCAAGACGACTTTTCTCCTCAAATGTGCTGTGTAGATTCGCAAACTATATCATTGATAAAAACTAAACGCGAAGTGCTTTACCAATTTAATGTTGTTAAACACTGTCTATAAATCGTACACAATTTGCAACAAAGTCTAACGCGATACAAAATTTCAATTCACATTAAAAAATTACACGACGAAGCTTATAATAATTTACCTCTAGTGTACTATAATTCACTACAAGCACTTTCTGAACTGGTAACCATAAAATATGAAAGCACGTGGGGACACATTCAAATGCATAAATACTACCACTTAACGTGATAACATTACCAGGAAAATTGTTGCGAATTGTTCAGATTACAAGAACTCGAGAAAAATTCGCCAATAACTTTTCAAATCCGACACAAATATTCACATCTATTCGGAACATTGCGACAGTATCCAATGATGCCAACATAAAACAGCGAGTATGCTGTTCATTGTACAGTAATCGATTCACTCTGTCCATATTTTCCATGATACACTAACGAAAACACACTAAGAACACACCACAATTCATTGTCCATTGAATTTTGCGAATTTTTCAAACTACTACAAAGGCGAATTTCTACTGCACTGCATGGAAGCACTTCGCCGAAATGTGTCTTAATGCTAGTACTTACTGGATAATACATTCCCTGCGGCGGAAGGAAGAAAGCCCCTGAGCCCCACAGTTTGGCTGATGATGGAAAAACGGCTAGCACATAGAAAACCTCTGTACCAACGGCACACTCGTGCGAGTCGCTTCACGAACCAAGCTTCGTTGCTGGCAGTGCGAGCGTCGTCTTCCTTAGTCTTCTCTTGCGTTAGTAAGAAAGACAACACACTACTCTTCAGCACACAACAAACTTACTGGTTCTTTCAACGCGTCTGCGAGGAACACAAAAATACGTAAACTCAACACTTCAAAATAATATGTACTATCCTTCTGCAGAGAGAATGTGGCCAAGCTAGCAACCCACAGCGTTATGTCCGCCCTCCTGCCTGCCTAGCTTGCAGAATGCAGATCAATGAATTCTATGCTTCCTCCTCTCCCTCCAAAAGCCAACAGCCAGTCAGAACTGTTGCCAACACCCCGACTCCGCAGTGCTGCTTCGCGATACCGGCCTGCCATCTACCGGCAACGGAAAGCACTATACGCGCTTGCTCAGAGGCGCCAAAGTTCAAAACTTGTTCAAAGCCCCTGCAGTAAGTAAATCCATGTGGTAGGTTACATTAAAAAATGATGTGTATATAATTAACTCATTTTGTTAACAGTTCATCTATTCTAGCATGTATGCGCCCAGAGTATGAAAACAGTTCTATAAAAATACTGGATGTATTGAAACTATACTTTATACCTATTATCAAGAAAAATAAAGATTATAATGAATTATTTTACAAGACAAAGTTATTGCAAGACATAAATATCTATGTTGTTTATTTAGTGATTACGTTATACTGCAAATCGTTTTACATTTTGACAATAAAATTAAAAAAAACATCAACTACAATCAAAAGCGTAGATTAACATGTCTATTACATTCTATCTAATAATCACACATTAAGTTCTGTATGAAAAATAGAGACAACATTTTATAACCAAGGAGCGGATTAAAAAAATAATTAATCAAATTCATATAAATTGGAAGTATATAAAAGATAATTCATAAAAAGCAAAGCAGAAAAATGAAACATTTTCGACTGGTTTCTGACAACACTTATTGCAATGAGTATATTTTCACAATTAAGAATTTTTAAATAAGCAATAGAGTTATTTTACAAATTCATACCAGACAGTTTATATTAGGAGAATGTGTTAGACATATTTTGATTTTCACAATTAATAATTTTAAATAGACAATAGATTTATTTTACAAATTCATACCAGACAGTTTAAATTGAATCCTAATGGAATTAACTACTTAAGAAATGAGAGTTAATTTTATACTCATCTTCTCATAAACATCAAATTTCATTTAAAATTTACCAAACCATTATCGTAGAGAAAGCTTTATACTAATGATTCTTGAGGCAGAGCCTGAAATAACTTTATCACATAATTTTTACTTTCTCACCTTTCCTTATTAAGAAAATTATGTCTTCTAATACGTGTGCGGTCAGAATTCAGTCTTGGGGGTTCCTTCAGTAAGCTAATCGGTTGACGGCAATAAGGTCTGACTTAATTCAACGGTAGCGCCTAAACCGATCACACTATTTTTTCCTAAATTGACCGATCTCTCCGAACTCGAGACTTACGAGTTTAAAACCGACATTTTAAGTTTTGGGGATACTTCACATTCTCAATTTTTTTCCAAAAACGGCTCCAAATATTTTGTTTTACTTTTTTCCTCGAGCGCAAAAATGGCGCAGGTCTCACTTTCATTGCTTTCTCTGAATTTTCGAAAATAGCAAGAATTAAACATTTTTTTCAGTGCCTTCGAACAACACCAATATTGAAGACAGATTTCTTCCTTAAAAAATATTTTCTTCAAAAATATATCTTTAAATATGGCCATGTACGCATTAAATTTATAAAAAAAACGTGTAGTTTTCGCGTTTTGCAAGCAATAAAAGCAATTTTACTAACTAGATTTTCTCGAAAATGACTGAGCAGTACCGCAGGGCCACGGACCGCGCTATCTTCTCTTTCTCTTTCTTGTTCTATCCTTCACCCTTACGCGCACTACACGACCACACATGCCGGAAGACCAATCGGAAGTTTAGGGATTGTCTCGGCTGGGACGGTGTCCCGCTCATGGGAGATACCTGGTTAGGAAAAACCCCGTTAGACGACGGGAATACCGGCGACGGATATCATCATCCATGAGGGGAAGATGATCACCGCTACCTCCCGAGGAAAACACACGCACTTGACTTTCGAGACTAATGACCTTGGCAGTTGACGCGCCCAGAATGACTAATCGATTAATCAAAACCGAGTCCTAGGACAATAAGCGCCGAGGTCTCCAGCGCTCTACGCTCACAGCCTGCGGCCGGAGTTTCTCTTATTGCAGATCTAAAAAGCAGGAAGAATGATGGAATCGTGGCAATGTAGAAGCATAATAACGCGCGTGAATTTGAGATATTACTCGTGCTTGGTCATGTTAAACGTCCATAAGAGTGTGACCGCACCTTGGGGCGCTGGCTGGCTTGCAACTAGATGTAAAAGAAAGTTCGTCAGGCGATCGTCGATTTCAAATCTCAAATATTCAGTGAAATTAAATCTAAAGTATAATCCTAACATAAAATATCTAAAACAAACAAGTACCGTACAATTACCTGGAGATAGCGCAACCTAGCATGAGCCACTACTGCTAACTACCGAAAAATTGATTTACAACAAAAAGTATCTGGCCTTTCAATCAGCCTATGAACTATGTTTACGTCTAAACCACATCCGCAGAATTCTAAACAACATTAATACTCCTTGATCGATTTGGCTGATGTTACGGACCTCCGAATTTGAAATTGGTATTTTGAGTTTTCGAGGTATTTTACATTAGGCCTAAACGACATTTCATTTTTTCCTGTAACATTGCTTCAAATGTTTGGATATTTTTTTCTCTGGTAGAGCCAAATACCTTATAAAATGTCGTGGACCCAAATGTCGTGGGAACTCGCCGAATATTCCCAAATTGTAAAAGTGATTTTATTTTAGCCGCTTCCTACAACCTCAGTATTCAATATTGATATTTTTCTGTGGAGTATTCTCGTAATTCTAAGTGAAATACTGACACAAGTTAGTAAGCAAGAATTCCTAACATCTGCCAACTTATCATTGTTTTTACTCGAATTCACTTTTCGAAAATTTGATATGCACAACGTTCTTTTTAAAGCGTATGCAACTTTAGAAAGCCAACTTTATGTTTGTAGTTATTAAATTTATTGGCGCTAAAAATAAGTAACCGAGTTCGTATCCTTGGGTGAGCAAAAGTTTTTGCGGCTTCGAAATCTTTTTTTGTTTTAGTGGATTGAAGTAGTATTATAAAATAATGTAAGCGTCAGAAAGAATGTGCACAACTAGTTACAGCTTTATTATTAAAGCTAAATATTGAATGATTGACTGAATTGTGATTCCGGGCCCGTTAACTGCTAAGGACTTAGTTCTGTAAGTGTAGTGCATGATTTTATCGCGAGACCTGACGGTAATCTTCCTCGGCGCCATTACGAGGTATCCCCAGCTAGGTATCTCCCATCAGGAAGTTGAAGGGATTTGTTAGTCTATATTTCGAAAACATTCAAGCATTATGCCTGTAATCAAAAAATTCCAAACCTGTATTACGAATATTAAATTATTTATTTTAATACTCGTCTTAATCAACCGCGAAACACACAAAAGTGTCTCAGGGAATTCGCAGCTAGTCGATGTTAGGAGAGTTTCAGGGGGACTGGACCTCATGAGGAAGAGAGACCGGCCCCAAGCTAAGTCTGAGGAATGGAACGCGGACTGGTTGGGGAAGGGAGGACAGACCGGGGTCTTTTCTTTAGGGTGATGCTCCGCCATCCGCAGGGAATTAATAATACGAAACCATCCCGGTCAGAGAGCCGACATCTACAGTTTCCTTCCAGGTAGTGGTCGTTAACTCTATTTCGATAGTGACGAAAATCCTCATAACGATGGGACTGGAACAGGTCTTGGGATAATATTCTTCATTCACAATACCTCATATAACGCGTAAAGACCCGTTTATCGTTATTTATACAGCTTTATCCACAATGTCTGGCAAACGTGCGAATTAAACAGCTACCCCTAACATTGGTTACATTAGGGTGTTCATACTTAAGGTCTAGTGCAGACTGCAAACAATTTTTCTGAATAATAAACAGTTTCTAAAGAGATGCTAAACATAGTGTCTCGTGTGTAGACTCAGGTATGTGTCATGGTGTTTCTCAAGTTATTAGCCCCGTTGAGGTTAATGCAGGAAATTGTGCTGCCAATTTACTTATCTTATTTCTCGGCCGAAAGAATGAAATGTGTATACGAAAAATACTAATGGAAAGCATTATCAAACATGGCAATGAGATTTTGACAGACCTAAAATTTGAAAACGGAGGTTTTAAACCTTTTTCTACCTTATCGCCCAGTGATTTAAGATCTAATTGACCAGTGAGTAAGATTTAATGTTTATGATCAATTCTTCGATTTTTTAGGCCAAATGACACACTTCTATTAGTTGCCAAGAGATTCACTGGACTAGTTGACAGAACCGTGTTTAAGAACACAGAAATGTCATCACCTACTTTGGAAAGGAACCAAAAATACACAACTGATTGGAAGGTTAAGGCACTTTCAATGTGAATGCATGTGCGCTGGTGAACCATCACTACCAACGACAGGATAGTCCTCCAAATTTGGAAATTTACAAAATCCTGAACATTTTAAAAACTCAAATGTTTTTGTTTCCATGCGCATATTTTTAAGGGTTAAAGTGTATATACTAAACACATTCATTACTTACTGCTTTCACGTCCAAGTGCCGAAAAATGTAGAAAATACGTGAAGCTCCCTTGACTATAGTACGAATTATTTATTCGTGCACGCGACACATATAGCTATTGCGATTTCATCCAATCGGGAGCTTACAGATGTCGCTACAGTGACGTCACTATGGAGACGTTCAAGCTCCCGATTGGATGAAACCGTAAACAGCTGATTGACTTCAAATGCACGTTTAAATATATTCTAGTATAAAATGACCGGTTTATACTTAAAACACTTCTGAAAGTCTAGGAAGAAAAAACTTTTTCGCAACGCGTTAAAGGATAATCGTGACTTCTCTCAGGTCAAACATTTCGAAGTGTTGCGGGAGGGATGGAGAGAAGAAATATATGACCTCTGTATGTGATTCGACATCAAATTATGCACATTTTGTACCAAAAACTTTTAAATTTTGATCATCGTAAAACTTTTCGACGCATTTTTATACCATAATATTTTACAATCAAAATTCACTGGCTTGGCTCGGGCAATTTCTAAGACATTCGCGAGGGTTCTTTCTTCGGTATATTTAACAAAACTTAAAATGGCTGAATCACGGGGAGGCATGGGAGGTAATTGTTCACCTTCCAAAGCGAACACTT